TATATATATATAAATCTACACACACTGTATCATTTTAATTACTGTATTAAAGCGTCAAGTTGCTTGACAGCTGTAAAAACCTTTATTTACTTGGCAGGAAAAAATGTTAGATTATTAATTAGAATTGGTACAGGCAGTCAGACGTTCTTGCTTCCCCTGACACACTCATGCTCATGATAAATCATCTGAAATCATGCTGGAGCACATGATCATCAGGTTTTGTTCAAGTCAATTCCGGTGCTGATGTCATTAGAGAAACAAACCAGACACAAAGACATAATGAAAATCATATTCATTTTTAAAACTTATCACAATGCTGATAATGCTCATTTTTCTTGACAAATTGCAAAAGAACACAACACAGCAGCATTTTCACTGGTAGTCTCAGACTATTGGATCCTGCTGGATTCTGGAGGTGGCTTGTTAGTAATTTTGCAATGGACACAGAGTCTCTCGGGACAGACTGGGTGATCGTAAAGACAGGATGGGTCTGGTTTGGTGTCATCAATAGGTCAAGAGTCAAAGTTGTTAAGAAGGAAATGAGAAAAGCAACTGAACACATAGAGAGCAAAAAGAAAACCATCTGCAATAACAAAACACACACTGAACAAATGATTCACTTTGTGGGTGTGTGTTGGGATAATTAATAAATATGATGTCCCTCTTGGTTCTTACTGTTGACGGCCACCCATTCATTCAGATCTTCTCCGTCAGGAAGCATGACAGCCATACGCAGGTTCCCACTGCCCAGCGTGGCTTCGGCGTGTTTGAGCAGCTCATACTGATGAGAACCTTCTGGAATATTCTTCTTTGGCTTAAACGTCTTAGATGAACGATTCCCGCTGGATGGGATGGAACAAAAAAGCCATTTAAAGAGAAAATTCGCCCAAAAATTCTAATTTGCTGAAAATGTACCCACCCTCAGGCCATCCAAGATGTAGATGAGTTTGCTTCTTCATCAGATTTGGAGAAATGTAGCATTGCATCACTTGCTCACCAACTGATCCTCTGCAGTGAATGGGTGCCGTCAGAATGAGAGTCCAAACAGCTGATAAAAACATCACAATAATCCACAAGTAATCCACGCCACTCCAGTCCATCAATTAATGTCTTGTGAAGCAAAAAGCTGCATGTTTGTAAGAAACAAATCCATCATTAAGGCATTTTAAGCCCATAATTAATACAAAATAATTGATCCCCTGTTGTCCTCTCACATCAAAATCCACTAATATATCGGTTCAGAACTGTTTTGGACTGTTTTTGCTTGTAAACTGTGCTTGATCTGTGCATATTTCTTTCCTGATTCAGACAAGACAACTTTTGAGACAACAAGCAATATTATGGATGACTCATATTTTAACCGGAAGCAAAGGTTTGAAGATAAAAATGCCTTAATGATGGATTTGTTTCTTAAAAACATGCATCTTTTGGCTTCACAAGACATTAGTTGATGGACTGGAGTGGTGTGGATTATTGTGATGTTTTTATCAGCTGTTTGGACTCTCATTCTGACGGCACCCATTCACTGCAGAGGATCCACTGCTGAGCAAGTGATGAAATGCTATATTTCTCAAAATCTGATAAAGAAACAAACTCATCAACATCTTGAATGGCCTGAGGGTGAGTAGTACATTTTCAGCAAATGTTCATTTTTGGCTGAACTATTCCTTTAAAGAATGTCAAAATAGTCTATACAAAATACCGCCTAATCAGGATTGTTATAAGCACCTGTGTGTGTGTTATAATGTCTCATTTTTTACATATTTCTCATCTGATTTACAAAGCAAATCTTCAAACACAGACATGCAGTTTATCCGGTTTATCCCATCAAAGAAACACACATGCCACTCAAAACCATTCACACATTTTTCAATTCAAATTCAAAAACATCACAATGGCAATGACATCACATGTCTGTGTTTGTTCTTCACTTCTCCAAAATCACATGCTTCCGGTGAACCATCACAAGCGCTTCACAACAGTTTCCACATGAAATCATTCTCAGCTGTTTTGAGGAGGCCGGTTTTCTTATGACAGGTTCTAGACAACCTTATCAGTAAATTACATTTCAGATGCATCATAACAATCAACTCTTGCCAAGCCTTCAGATTTACCGAATCAGATTGAGAAATGTTCTGCATTTGAGATTTCCTCCCTCTCTTCCTCTTGTAAGATGTAGACATGTTCCTTAAAGTAATTACAGAGAAAGCAAATACACCCTGTTCTCTCCCAAAATGATACGATTAGAATGATGCGAGACTGTTAAACTGAATTAAACAGCATTTTGGGAGAATAAAAAACATAAGAAACATAAGATAAGATATTCATATGACAGTTGCAACATCATGCACTGCCTGGTATCTATTTCATTTCATGCAATTTCATCAACAGCTCAGCTGCTCAGCATACAGTAGAGCCTACTCTTCCAACTTTGGATGCATCACAGGCTTTGCTCACAATGCAACTCTCTGATCTCAGATACAAAGTGACAAGACACACAACGTGCTTTTTGAACAACAAACATGCATTACATATATATATATATATATATATGTAATGCATATATTACATGCATTACATGCCCCAGCCCAGCTCATCAGAGAGCCAAGAACCCGGTGCAAATGTGCCAGAATTGGGCTAAGCTCGATGCCGAAGCATTTGCGTGAAAAACTGCATATTTTTTAAAGCAGCTGTCAGGTTGAAATACTGACACATTTAACGATCTGCACGCGCAGAACTGAAGTCGATTCGGTCCAAAAGCTCTTTAGCAAGACGAGCTAAAGAAGTAAACTGGTAGTTATCTAGAAATAATGATCTAAATCATAGAGTCAAACTCACAATAAGAAGCTCATCTTCTTCTGTCTGGCCGGTTCGGAGTTCTGCTGCTGGTCCCGGTCCGCGGTTCGGCTTCGTGTAGCGCAGAGACACCTGGCAACAAACTTCCCACAGCCGCTGTGGATTCTCTAATGTGATTTGTAGATCTGTAAATCACGTTACATTAGAGTAAATCCAGGATGAAGGCTGACTTATGTTTTGGAGATCTGTGTTAACGCCAAACCACAAAATCTCGCGATGGTTCGAATCGCTGACGTAAGCCTTTATTCCGATAGATAGATAGATAGATAGATAGATAGATAGATATTTTAAGTTAATATTTCAATAATTGTACAGCACATTTGCATATTCACAGTTCGCTATGGTCACATAGGGATCTGTTTTTAGTTGTTTTAATACTACAATTGATTGCTTCTGTTTTGTCATCATTTGTAAGTCGCTTTGGATAAAAGCGTCTGATAAATGACTAAATAAATAAATAAACATGACATGCAAATAAACAAATAAAATATTTCATCTTTTTAGTAAATGTTTCATTTTAATTGTTTAAAAGTACTTATTTTTTTCATCAAATGTAAATCAGTTGATATATTATTTTTTATATTAATAATTAAAAAAATAATTCATTTATTTATTTTAATCAGTGTTCTTTATTTATTTTGTTTAATTATATTTTAATATTGTTTTATTACTATTATTTTGTAACACTGTTTTTTTTTTCATGAACCTCGACCAATCCTGGAGCCCAGTTTTTATTTACATTTTTTTAAATTTTAGAATTATGATTATTTTTTTAATATAGGCCCAACAAAAAAAAGACCCAATTTATACTGTGAAAAATTCATATTCTAAATATGTGTAAAATATTATTTGAAAAATAATTAGTTTATATAATGTTACATTTATTTATTTTTTACTCACTATAATACTCTATTGTTCGATTGATTGATTGGTTTAAATTATCTTATTTTCTTGTAATATAATTCATTTATTTTAATTAAACTTATTTATTTAAAACCTAATTTTATATGATTATAATATAATTCTAATGATTAATTATAAATATTTAAGCTATTTATTAATATTAATAAAATATATGCATTTAAAATTTATTTATTTAAACATATTTTTAATCAGAGAACAATAATATTACACAACAGAATGGATATAATGTTTTCCCCCTTACTTTAACAGTTTGGTTGTGACTCATCTCATAATAGTAGAAGTAGGGCATATAGTAGGCTATAGTAGTAGTAGTATGAATAATAATAATATTAATAATAGTTTATTAGTGATTGTTTAGAAGTTTACCATACACTTTTAATATACTTTTCAGTCTAATAATAATAATTAATAGTAATAGTAGCAGAAGTAGGCCAGTAGAATGTATTAAAAGTATTAGTAGTATTATTAGACTGTATTAAAACTGTATTACAGTTGTGATGGCAAACGCTTTTAAACACATAACTGTACTTTACACTACACTAGTTGTCCAAACGCCAAAGTCCTGACTGCGCAAATGTTGATGCGGTTGACGCTCCTGACGCTCCATATGCGCAGTGACGCATTATTGGCTCCACCCACAATGCAACGCAGACGAGGGAACCTCCGAGACAAGAGGAGCAACCGCTCTAGCGTTACTAAATTAAACTGACATTACACCGAGGATTATCTCACTCTGAGGACACCGATTCAGCGACACCTTTTAACTCGAGATTTTTTTAAAGAAGACGAAATTCGACAGCGATCCTGAGAGGTTTGGATTATATTTCGCTGCCTTCTGCCTCTATTACACCATAATAAGAGCAGCGGCGTCCTTACAGCATTATTTTTTATCCAGGACGATTTTACAATCCAGTTTTTTTCGGTGATATTTTTGGCTGCCGATTGTTTGATAACTTTATTACGCAATTTGTTTATTTGGCTGATATTACAATCAGCTATACTTTCCAGCCATTGTCCTCGACGGGGAAAGAGCGACGCCCTCAGGCCGCCGCTGGTACTGCAGCTGCCGGTGAGTTGTAAGTGAGACGCCGGGAGTCTGAATCATTTAACGGTGGAAAATGAGCTCAGAAGAGGCGGCAGCTCCAACCAAAACCGGCACAGACGACGATGGCATGTCCTGGTGGTACCACTGGATCTGCAAACTGGCCGGTGTCTTGGGTGGCATATGTAAGTGTATCACACGTGATTGTGGCCATATGGCTGTTTAAAGCAGAATAACAGCATCAGCCATGTGCTTCCTGATAGACAGCTGTGTCCTTGTGTGATGGCATCTGAAACCTTTCCAACAACGATACTGTCTTACACCAAACACAATCACATGTCATGTGCTGGACTTCTAGTGGTTTCCCTACAGCATATCAAATGATGAAAAGATGATGTCAAGATGTTCTTAGTGACATCACTTCCTTCGAAGCAAAGCTGTGCAATATAGGGGTTTCAATCTTTTAGCTGTCACGGACCCCCAAATATAATCATCTCTGAGCAATGGACCCCCTTCTAAAATGTAAAAGACAGCTTTTTATGTATAAAGATCCAATTTATACAGCAAAAAGTTATTACAGATATACTGTTAAATGCGGTATTTATATATTATCAAATTATATATTTTTATTTCAATCGATTTATTTATTTTAATCAAACTTACTTAAAATTATATTTTGTATTTTAATCAGACTTATTTTATTTTAATTAAAAGTTAAATTATTTTTATTTATTTTAATCAAATTATAAATTATTTTATTTGAATCTTTTTTTAAATTATTTTAATCAAATTATACATTATTTTCATTTAAACCTATCTATTTATTTTACTCCAACTCATTTATTTAAATCAAAATATATTTTCTTTTTATTTTGATATTTATTATTTATTTTAATCAAACATATATTTATTTTGTTTAAGTTTATTTTCATTTTTTTAAACTGATTTTCTCAAAACTTTTCGACAGACCCCTCCCTGCATGATATAATATAGGTGAACCATATTATTGATTATTATCAATCACTATATCATATAGACCAGCATATGCTCATCAATTTGGGATGAAGGCAAACCATGATGTTTTCGTCCTTCTCTGTTAATCAATGCACTCAATGAGATCATTGCTTTGAACAAAGACATGGCTAATCAATCACACCTTCAGACAGTGACTCATAGAAAACCTGTAGAAATTCTGTCATGGAGATCATATGCTCATCAATTTGGGATGAAGGCAAACCATGATGTTTTCGTCCTTCTCTGTTAATCAATGCACTCAACGAGATCATTGCTTTGAACAAAGACATGGCTAATCAATCACACCTTCAGACAGTGACTCTCATAGAAAACCTGTAGAAATTCTGTCATGGAGAATCAACACCTACAAACAAGTAGTTATGGTTCCAGGGTTATACTTGGAGTACCAAATACATTGGTATACGAAATACAGTAATCCTTCAATATTATGTATTGTGTGTGAGGGAAATGAGTTTGTGATTTAAGCACTTTTAATACATCATTTAGTGGTATATGCTGAGATTTGAGTTGTAAACTCACTGTGAGATGCTGGAGTGGTTTGTATGAGCTCTTTTTTGTAGACACTGTCATGGTAACACAGGTGTCATAGCAACTGCAATTTACTCTTCTCTTGCTCGTTTCTTTCTCATCTTTTTGTTCTGTCATGTCTTTTGTTAGGGATCACCGTGTGTTATGAACCGATAACAATAACAATATCTCTCTCTCTCTCTAGTGCAGGGGTTTTCAATCCTTTAGGTGCCACACTCACCCAAATATGATCTTTAACAACCATCTGTATAGTTTATTATTTATACTGTGAAAAATGTTTACTGTGAAAGTTTTTTTTTTTTTACGTTCTTTTATGTATTTTACATTGTTTTTCTACTCATTATAGTACTGTTAGATTTATTATTTATTTACGTATTCATATTAATAAATTTTTTATTTAAGTTTTACTTTTATTATATGTTTTTACAATTACAAATACGATTAAAATAAAGAAATAAATATTTGATTTGATATATATATATATATATATATATATATAAGTCAAACGGCACAAATAAATCAATGTATGGGAAACACTGGTAATGTATATCGAAATATCGGAAATGTGTTTAAAAATCATATCTTATTTATTGAAAAAAATTATATCGCGATACATATTGATAGTGAATTATTGTCCAGCCCTAAGACACAAAGATTGAGCGTACACTAGGTCTGAACACACACACACACACTTGTGCCAGCAGTACTCTGTCTGTGTGTGTGTGTGTGTGTGTGTCAGTCAATAGTTCTCTGTTCTCTTCTACATATGCTGAGACACAGATGACAGAAGCAGCTGCTCATCAAACCCAACAAAAGCTTGCGCTCCATCCAGCAACCAGCTGCTCCTTCCTGTGTGTTTGAACGTATTTTGTACAACACGTACAAAACAAGTTGATTTTGACCACTATATCATAATTGCTTAATCTTATCACTAATAAACCTACTTTAAATCAAATGATATATTATTCTATATTAATCATTTAAAAAGTAATTCATTCATTTTCATCAAAGTTATTTATTTATTTATTTGTTTGGTTGTAATTTTATATTATTATTGTTGTTGTTGTTTTTGTTTTAGGGGTTACGTTTTTCAATTTCCATGAACGCTTAGCACTCCTGGGCCACATTTTTTTATTTTAAAATGATTTATTATTATCATTATTATTTTATTATGATTTAATTAATTATTAGCTTGGTAAACCCTGGGCTATAGGGCAAATATTTGGTTGATATTTGGTCATTTTGAGGAACATAAAAAAATTTGATTTATCATTTACCACTAATCACAATGTTTTTTTTTAGATGACAAATATAGATGTTATTTTCAAAAACGTAACACTTTTCTGTATTTATTTTTTTAGCATGTGCAACAATGGGCATTTGGAACTGTGTGACTGTGAATCCGTTAAACATCGCGGCTGGAGTTTGGATGGTGTAAGAACCTACATTTCAGTTCCCAGTGTTCATCAAGCCATGTATATAAGCCATTCAGAAGAGGAACTATCTCTGTTTTCCCTCAGGTTGACGGCGATTGTGTTGTTCCTGTGTGAGGTGCCCTTCTGCTGTCAGTTCGTAGAGTTTGCGAATGCTATAGCGGCGCGTGCAGACCGTCTGAAGCCCTGGCAGAAAGCCCTGTTTTACTGCGGGTGACTGCTTTACTTCCTTCACTGGATAATCAGTGTTACTGTGTAACTAATATTTACTGCCAAACCAAAAGTGTTTTTTTATCCAGGGGACACATGGCAACTCTAAAAGCTAAATCATCCACTGAGCTGTTTTTGACTTATAGGAGAAATTTGAAGACTAACAAGTGTAACTGTCCAAATCAATGAACTGGAATGCAAATATCAATGCAACCAAATGATGTGTGTCAAATTATAAAATAAAAGCCTTATCCTTTAATAACATCAGTAAATGTAAGTGTAACATGTAGAATTAATCTTTAATTAATGAATATTAAATGTACATTAGTTTCTTTTTCAAGTCTCTATGAAGTTACATGATGTGTTTTTCAACTCATTGTAGTTCTGTTTATATATTATATATATATTTTTTTTTTATTATTTCTTTATCTATTTTTACACTGTTTTTCTCTAAACCTTTTCACAGATACTCTAGACCCCAGTGGACAATATTATTACAGCATTTAATGTTAATTTATATTAATGTTAATTTAATTTTATAACCTATTAATACATTTTAACATTAGTTGCATAAGCAAACATTATTTAATGTATTATGAACAAACATTAATTTAATATGAACTATATTATACACTATCATTGAAAGGTTTGGGGTTGGTAAGATTTCTTTAATGTAGTCTCTTCTGCTCATCAAGACTGCTTTTATTTAATTTTAAAAAATGCAGTAATATTGTGAAATATTATTACAATTCAAAATAGCTATTTTTTATTTGAATATATCATCAAATTTAATTTATTCCTGTGATGCAAAGCTGAATTTTCAGCATCATTACTCCAGTCTGCAGTGTCACATGATCCTTCAGAGATCGTTATGCTAATTTGCTGCTCAAGAAACATTTCTGATTATTAATGAGCTGCTTCACATTTTTGTGGATCCCGTGACACATTTTTTTCAGGCTTCTTTGATACTTAGAAAGTTTAAAAGAACAGCATTTATGTGAAATAGAATCTTTTGTAACATTATAAATGCCTTTACAGTCATTTCTGATCAATTTAATGCATCCTTGCTGAATAAAAGTATTAAAGGGGTCATATGATGTTGCTAAAAAGAACATTATTTTGTGTATTTGGTGTAATGAAATGTGTTTATGCGGTTTAAGGTTCAAAAAACACATTATTTTCCACATACTGTACATTATTGTTTCTACTCTATGCCCCGCCTTTCTGAAACGCGTCGATTTTTACAAAGTAGGTATGTGGGGGCGTGTTCGAACGAGCCGTTTTAGGTAGGTGTGGCTGACTTAACTTTTATAAAGAATATCTCTTTGGATTTGAGACTTTAGTCTTTGCAACTTTACAGATCTTCTTTATGCACCAAGAGCTTGTAACACTCCAAAGAGAAAGGAAAAATTGAAATCGCATCATATGACCCCTTTAAATATGTGTCAAAGCCTATTAAATGTTAAATGACTAAATGTTATATATAGACTGTCTACAATTTATATATTGAATATTGAATGGCTACAACCCAATTGTTAGTGGGATTTTTTTGTTATAATTTTATCAGAATTAACACAGATTTCACTTTGTCCCTCAGGATGGCGTTGTTTCCCGTCTTTCTGAGCTTTTCCATCACAACTCTGTTTGGTAACGCCATCGCTTTTGCTACAGGAGTGCTGTACGGACTCGCATCCCTTGGAAAGAAGTGAGCTCATGTTTGCATTTACTCGCACACAGAACAAAACATTTCTTCACTGAGTAACTCTTCATAATATATTTTGCCATTATTGACTAAATGATGGACGATTGTGCGCTTTCTGTGTTTCAGAGGTGACGCGGTGAGCTACGCTCGATTGCAGCACCAAAAACAGGGCGATGAAGAGAAACCGACAGAAACGACAGACGGTTCAGTGCCGTGAACCTCCTCTACCTCCGCTGCATCCTTCCCTCTCTTTTTCCCTTCACGTAACTACATGCATGACCTGACTGAGTGTAACCTTTGACCTCTGACAGCGTGAGTCAGTCAGCACAAATCAGTTTGTGTAGGATTTAATAAAATGGGTTGAGAGCCCTCAGATTTCATCAAAAATATCTTAAATTGTGTTCTGAAGATGAACGAATTGGTTTGGAACAACACGAGGGTGAGTAATTAATGACAGAATTTAAATTACCCTTTAAGTGATTTTTTTCAATTGCGCTATCATGCACATTTGTTTTGTTTTTTTAAGTATTGATTTAATTTTCATCTCATTTTATAAAAACCGACGTATTTTAGTTTGTTAACCCAAAGCTGGAGTGTAAATGAATGCATTAACTTCAGCGACCGTCTCCATCTCTCGTATATTTCTCCCAGAATTCTTTGTTCTGAACTTTTGTGACAAGTAAATCTTTTAAACGAACAAACAAACTTGTATTTTAATGTGTAGGCATGGTAAAAACGTGTTTTGGAAATTGCAGGGCCTCTGCAGGGATTATAACAAAGTGTGTTTGTGTGTTTTTGTGCCTCTACAAACCAGCCTTTACCCAGAATCCTTTGCTGCAGCATGTTTGGTGTTTATAAGAAATGGTGGAATGTAATTTAGCTATGCGCTGCTCTAAAACCTCGCTGTCACTTTCTTTATTTGATATTTGGTGAAAGAGTGTCTTTGAGAGTCTGATCTGCGCTCTTTTCATAGCCGTTAATCGGGTTAGACGCCATATTGAATTTAACACGGATAAAAACAAGGCTGTGAGGGCCAGACTTTATGGAGTTTTTGTCTACTGAAAGTTTTGTTTCATCAGCTGAACATTGGGTTTGTTGTTACATCGCGCTGTACTTCAGTCCCTCACAGCCTCATTTTCATTCCTGTCAGAAATGTAATATGGCGCTCCCCTGATGGAAGATTTTCTGAATGATGAGGTGCATTTTGAGCGGTTTACCTTCCGTCTTCAGGAACTTGCGTGTGTTTCTGTCTTTGCTCTCAAGCCATGCGTCTCTTGCTGCACTGAAGAAGGGCTTCTTTTCTGGAATAAGAAACGACTGGGTTTGTTGATGCTGTGATGACGTGTTGTTTGCTTGTTTCTGCGTCTATCTGAGCCAGTCTCAACACTGACCGTGGAAAGTATGAAAGCCAAAAGTACAAACTACAAGATAAAAGAACTATAGTTTAGAGGTCAGAGGTCATGCTCTAACCGTAGTGTTCACACTGTTACTGTCTTTTGTCTTTAAAGACTGAATTTCATGAAATTGGTCAAGGATGTCTAGATTGTATTTCACCTACAAATCTTTTTTTTTTTCAGTCTTTTTTTTTCATGACAATTAAGCACATTTATTTAAATAAAATACGTTCATTTATATAATAAAACTATGAGAATTGAAATAAATCTCAAAGTAACATGTTTGGAATGTTAAAATTTAATTGCTTAATTGTCATTGTTACAATGCAGAAATGAAAATGCATTTTAAAAATGCAAAAGGAATATATATATACATTTTTCCTTTTGGTTTTAGTATGAAACGTATGGAAGCCCATTTTCACTACAGAATGAAAAGATAAAAGGGTAATTGCGGTTTTTTTATCATCTTTTTTTTCGCACAATTCTGAGTTCATATATTACAATTAAAACTTTTTTTGCGGGTTTATATCAGAATTAGATAGAATTACGAGATATAAACTCGCAATTATAAGAAAATTCACTATTATGAGATATAAATTCGCAATTGCAAGAAAAAGTCAACTTTATTTTTTTTATTCTGTGGCAGAAAAAAAACGGAATTGCGAGGAAAAAAGTCAGAATTTTAAGCGATTCTGCCTTTTTCTTCAGAACTGCAAGTTTATATCTCACAGTTATGAGAAAAAAAAATTATTGCAAGAAATATTTTTTTCTCAGAATTTCAGAAAAGTTTTGAATTGAATTATGAGATAAAAAGTCGCAATTACCTTTTTTATCGTGCCAGAATCAGGCTTCCATATAAATGTTATCTGTAGTTAAAAAAAAAAAAAGGTATTTTTCCTGTTTTTTTTCCCCATGAGCTAAATAAAGACACTTGTCTCTGACCTCCTCACTTTCTTGTTCTGTTTCTGTGTAAAAAAACATCTGATATCTAAAGTATGATTTAACTACTACTTTTAAAGACCCTGTGGAATTTTTTATTTACATTATTTACAACTATATCTGGTGTTTTTAATATGCTTAAAGACATGTAGAAATTCATCTATGGTCCCTTTAGTTTTCAAAAGACTGATGACGCGTTTAACGGTCATCAGTATCGTAAATCCTCGAAGGTTTTTCATATTTGTATTTTTTTTTTTAATATGTGTACATTTTTGACGACTTCCGCTGCTGAGAAATCCGGAAATGTGAAAAAGTTCCTTCAACTTTATTTCCGCAAGACAATTTGCGGGGTGGGGCTTTTTATATCATTAGCATATCACAAGATTTGTGCAACATTAGCAAAACATTATTAGCTGCAAAGGCTAATGATATTAATTACCGTTACTCGTCCGACATTGTAGAGAGCGATACATAAAATGGATTCTGATATGGACGTGTAGACAATCCTGTAAAATTTCCTTTTCCTCGGAATCAGTTTCTGGTTAAAACTTACATGACTGAATTAATCCACTATACTGAGTTGGGGCGGGGCTAATTTGAATATTCATAAACCCGCCGCATACTAAATGAGGTAAGGGTGTAGAATTACATCCAAGCCTTTTTTAAGGCATTAAGAAATTATTTTCACGTGTGAAAAACGTTTAAATGTCATTTCGATTACTTTTAATAGTTAAAGGTGACTTGGG